CCCCTCCCCCAGAATATCACATTTACAGGAGATCACGACATTTCCCCGTGAGGGCAGCGAGGACAGAACTCTCATCTGAAGCTAGGACTTCTTGAAATAATACTTGCAATTTGAGATGTGTCAATTATCTTGATGACCCTGGTTCGTTCTCCCAGTATTGAGGAGCAATTTCACAGCAAAGTTATTACTCATAGCTGATGTTTGATGGCCAGTAAATAGTTGCCACAATATATTTTGCTCATCAAGCTTATTGCATTAAACTGAAGCAACTTGGCTTTCATTTGTGTGTTCCTAGGGATGATGGGCCAAGCAGAGGACAGATTTAAGGTACTAACTTCCTGTTAGGTGTCTCTCACAACTCTGTTAGCCATGGAGATTTATACTTTACATACCTAACTGAATCCTCCCAGTCCCATGCGAGTACCTAATTTCCTGACACAGGCTTTTCCTGAAGAGGTAAAATGACTTGCCACCATCAGGCCAAGCTGTGGTCTGGAGCCCAGTATCTGACTCCAAAGCTCACATTGTTAACCACTCTGTGGTAACAAGTAAAGAAATAAACCAACAAATAGACAAAGAGGAAAGATAAAAATGGGCAGAGGCAGACGGTTATGTGGAGAGTGCCAATGCCCTGAGTCAAAGATCACCAGGAACACACCTGTAGTTAAGTAAGTTTGGTTTGTGACTCATTGTACCAAGGAAGAACACACACCATGGGGAACCACAAAGGTCTTACTGAAAGGGTGTTGGAAAGACCCTGCTCTAGGGTTTGGGCCTTGGCCGGGTGATTTGAGAGGGTCTAAGGAAGTTCTAGATTGGAGGCTGTCAGAAATCAGGAGTAATTCTATGATTGGGTATCTCAAAAAATCTCATCTGTAGACTAGCATGAGGACTGACCTGTAAATAAGTTGCAGTCACTCTTTTTGGCCAAGAGAAGGGTGTTTGGTGTTTTCTAGGTGGCACAGTGACCTTGTTTTTGTCTGTGCTTAGACAAAATTGTAAAGAGGCCTTGCTGCGTCATCTCATTTTTTCATGGTCGCAGAGTAACCTTATCTGAGGCTGGTCTTCTGTGAGATTTTTTATGTTTAATAGGAGAATAATGTGACCTAATGTCAGTGCAAGGCCAGCTCCTGAATGTCTTTCTCTTTTTCAAGCAAAACTTGGGGTGGAGACAACTTCAGAACAGCAAGTGACAACACCATCTCTCTTTAACCTCAGGATTGATTTGGCTATTTGAATTGGGGAAAGTTGGTTGGAGAAAGGTTCTGGAAGTTATGCATTTCTGAGCACTGCTGTCTTCTTCTGTTTTTGGAGTTCCACATTGGATGTGGCCACTAGAGTCTTTTGACAAAAGTGTCGCCCACGATGAACGCAAACTCAAGAGCCTACAGCTACCCTCCTGTGGATTTCGTCTCACTGATAGGATTTGGGTGAGGTGAAGCAGGGAAGAGAAACTAGAGGAAATATTGGATACAGAAGGAGAAAGGAAATTGTTCAGTCAATAGAAACGAAAAACCAGCTCAGTGGGGGAAGGGGGTTGAGTGGAGATTAGAGATATTTTAAAATTCACATGACTGTTGTTATTTCTCCTCTTCCTTATGGGTAGCCAGAAAGTACCAGATCTGCGGCTTAAAATAGGGGCAGTTCCTGTTTATTCCACCTGATGTAGGGGGAGAAATGCTGCAGGGCTGACAAGTATAACACCAGGGACGAGCAGTGGGCTTTGGAACGTGAAGTGTAAATAGCCTGCCGGGAGCCTGAGTAGCAACCTGGGGAAGGAAATGGCCAACTGAGAGAACGTGATGACCTGTCTGGTGTTGCAATCTGATAAAACTCATTAGCCTGACGCCTGTATGTTCTTTGATCTCCTGACAAGCGGGCACAATCCATCGCTGGAGAAGCGGGAGGGTTCACAGGATGGTTTCATCTGGGCCTGCTTCTGGAGCCCAGCAACTGGCCAACTCCCCAGAGCCAAGCTCTCCCCCTCTCCCCTTCCCCTTCCCTGGTCTGCTGGGGCTGGAGGTGGTTTTGGTGAAGCTGGGCCTGGGCCTCACCCTGACAGTGGCTTGGGGCCCAGGACTCACAGGGAGAACCACTTCCAGTTCCAGAAGACGGAAGAGGGGAAGGCTGGGCCTCTGGGGAAGGTGGAGGCAGACGGAAGCAAAAACCAGGCAGAATGGAAACTGCCCTGAATTAAAGTAACGATGCTGGTATTGGTAAGCTCAGGGGTCCTGGGTGGCTGGACTCTCTGCAGGGGACTCCTCACCTAGGTTCTTTCTCAGCTGAAAGGTGTGCCCTTCCTAAGTTTTGGGGTGCAGGACGTGGTGCATAAGGAGCTCTGGTGGTGCAGTCATTAAGTGCTCAGCTGCTAACCAAAAGGTTGGCAGTTTGAACCCACCAGCTGCTCCATGGGAGAAAGATGTGGCAGTCTGCTTCTGTAAAGATTTACAGCCTTGGAAACCCGGTGGGGCAGTTCTACTCTGTCCTATAGGGTCACTATGAGTTGGAATCGACTCGATGGCAATGGGTTTATTTTGGGACATGGTACATACCTGGGTTACCTGCCTCATTAGGTTTAGAAAGGGACAGAGCCCACCTCTGTCTATAGTGGAATTTGCTCCTTCTATGAAGGATGAGGATGTGCTTCCAGGTAGGAAGCTGGCTGGAGAGGACACAGGGAGCAGTGGCTAACTCAAAGTCCTTTCTCTTCCTAGTGACTTCTTGGTAGAGAAAGTAGGTGGTGAGATTTAAGGAGCAGCAGGTGGGCCATCTTGTCCCATCTTTCTTGCTCTTATTTGCTGCCTTGTATTCTACCAACTAGTGACCAGTATCAGCTATCAAGGAAAAATCAGCAGAGAAGACTGAGGGCGGGGGGAATTAGTTGTCATTCACATCTTAGTATGGATTAGTTTACAAAAGGGCTTTCCCTTAATCTATCGAGATCAAGTCACTGAGAGAATGTGAACCTTGCATCTAGAGAGAATTTTGGAGCCTGAAGCCCTGGAAGGGGACATAGGAGTGGGCCTGGGGCAGGATTGCTCAGTCTGTAAATGGCATGAGGGCATTGGAAAACCTAGTTAGTGGTGGAAGAAAGAAGTACCAGAAAGCAGGAGAGAGTACAGAAAAGGAGGTAGGAGAGTGGCCGCTTCAAAGCTTTGCCCAGGGTGAGTTCCTTCTGGTCTCCTGTCCTCCTCTCCTAAAAGACCACAGAGAAGAATCTCCTCAGCCAAGTGCAGATGCCACCTTTTGTGTCCTGGACGGACAAGGTGAGGTAGGGGAGGGGCATACTTGTTCTGCCCTCTCAGGACATGAGCCTTTGGCGTCCTAGCCTAGGAATCAGGGATCAGGCTCCCGCCCAGCTTTACCACCAACTGCAAGGGAGAGGCATGCCCTCTGCACCCTCTTATCCCTCCCCTGCCACAGCGGTCAGCCTAACTCATGGGAACCTACTAGAGGGCGAGGGGTGTGGGAGGTGTTCCCTGTGTCTGAGTCTGCTGGGTAAAGAACCCCAAAGAGACAGGGAGAGTTTCTTTATAGGGGATACAGTTTGGAGGTTGGAGTCAGAGATGCTTCCGTTGCCTCAAAGTGTAGGAGGAAAAGGATTTGATGGGCGATGGCTCTATGACCACTTCTAGGGTAAGTGTTGTTGCAGTTCCAACTCATAGCGACCCCATGCACAACAGAATGAAACCCTGCCTGGTCCTGCACCATCCTCACAATCATTGCTATGCTTCAGCCCATTGTTGCAGCCACTGTGTCAATCCTGATAACATGTCCAAAGTATGTGAGACGAAGTCTTGCCATCCTCCTTTCTGAGGAGCATTCTGCTTGTACTTCTTCCAAGACAGATTTGTTCTTTCTTCTGGCAGTCCACGGTAAGTGTCGCAGGAGCAAAAAATAAAAGTAAGCATAGAAGCTTCAACCATTTAACGTACAGCAGTGTTACTCAGGATCCAGCAGGAAACCACACCCGGTATATGCATTTTTCCATCTCTTAAACTTTAATTCCCATGAGCCTAATAGGCTCTTGTGTTGGAAAACCCATTTTGTTAGACTCACGTATGACCGATTGTGACACCAATAAAGACAAACGGAGGTGAAAATATTTTAAAGCCCTCCTTATTTCTAAGACTAGACAAACAAAGGTTGAGTTCTGGGAATTTCCTCCAGGATCACAAATGGAAACAGCTCAGAAGAGAAATATTTTGACAGTAAACAAAAATCCCCATAAATCACCCATTCAAATAGCTGGCTTGCTTCTCCCTTGTTCGAAAGGTGTTTCAAGTTGAGACCATTCAGAGCAAAGACTGAGTAAATATATAACAGGCCCCTGCTTTGTCACCCAAAAGTCCACAAACTTTTAATGAATGGGAAAGTTGAGGTTACAGAACACATGTCACTCTGCAAGTTATGAGAGGAAAAAACCATTGCTGGAATTGTCCTGGATCCAAGGTGAAAGTACCCGGAAGTGGCATTAAAAGAATCTTCTGAATAGGAGCCACTGTAGAACAAAAGGCAAAAGGTATGTTTCAGCGACCTTTTCCTTGGTTCTCTCACTCAGATGATACTGGGATAAATGAAAGCCTTTGGAGGTCTCTTAAAAAGAAAACAGTGAGAACACAGGCCGATATGCTATCCAAATACAGACTTAGCTTGTTGTGCTAACACAGGTTCTTTTGAGTGTCTTTACTCTCCCTCACCCAATTAAAAATAAACAAGGAATGGAGTCGTTATTGTCTATTATCCACTTTCCTTCCAAATTCTCCCTCTCCTAGAGTCTACAAACATGTTGCAGAACCCAGATTAGGATGAAAAACACCAGTCGTGAGAATTTCAGGAGCCTGAGAACCTAAAAGAACTCCGTAGCATCTGACTTGGCATCTGAGTAAGAAATGCACATGTTACTATGGAGCACAGATGTGGAATATGAGGAGAGAGCTGGTTCCAGCACCAAATCCAGAGTCCCTGGGGGAAGGAGGTTTAGTGATGACACTTCATTCTCAATATTCAATTCTGCTCCAGTAGAACATGGCACCCAGGAGAACCCAAAACTAGAATAAAAATGAAAAAAAAAAAAAAATGCTTTAGAAATATCTCACATTCAGGGAAAAAAATGATGTTTGGCTCACTCAGGCTTAGGTGACACTAGATTTTTTTTTTTTGTACTTCAGGTGAAGGTTTACAGAACAAATAGTTTCTCATGAAACAGTAGTACACATATTGTTTTATGACATTGGTTAACAACCCCACAACATGGGTGACACGAGATTTTGAGAGTAACCTTGCCTTAAGCAAATTACAGGGGCAGAGGTAACACTGAATCCAGCCCATCCCAAAACATCACTTATGGGAGTTCCTAAGACGGTGAACTAAGGGATCATAAACTCAAAACAAACAAACCAAAACCAAACCCATTGCCATCGAGTTGATTCCGACGTAGAGCGACCCTACAGGGACAGAGTAGAACTGCCCCACAAGGTTTCCAAGGAGTGGCTGGTGGATTTGAACTGCTGACCTTTTGGTTAACAGCCAAGCTCTTAACCACTGCACCACCAGGGATCATAAAAGACCTCTAAAAGGAGCTGATTTTCTTCTCCTTCCTTCCCCCTCCTTCCTAACCCAGCATTTCTCAAAGTGTGGTGCACAAACACCTGGGGGGAACTTTTGGGGTCCCTGATGTCATAATAAACCCAAAACCTGTTGCTGTAGAGTTGATTCCAACTCATAGTGACCCTATAGGACAGAGTAGAACTGCCCCATAGAGTTTCCAGGGAGCAGTTGGTGGATTCTAACTGACAACCTTTTGGTTAGCAGCTGTAGCTCTTAAAGGGCTCCAATGTCATAATAGGGATCCCTATTTTCATAATCATGTTAAGATTTTATTTGCCTTTTTCACTGATGATGCAAAAGAAGAGGTGGGTGAAGCTGCCAGCATTTTAGCAAGAATCAAGGTCGATGCATTAAACTGTGTTAGTAGTCATTGCATTCTTGCAGTTAAAAAAGAAAAAGCCAGTTTTACTTGAGATTGTCCTTGACAAAGCAGTAAAATTTATTAATTTTATTAAATGTTGACTCTTGAGTACACTTTAAAAAAATATTCTGTCACCATGAGCTTGATAGCATCCCAATGATTAAAGTCTTTCCTGATGTGGTAATATCAATATAAGTGAGTTTTTGGTATTGTATAAAGAAATCTGTCAAGATTTAGAAGACCTGCATAACAGAGTGAACCAATATTTTTCCAAATAACCAATGCATGATGCTATAGAGTCATGCATGGTAAAAGATTCATGCAAAGTGCAAGACAAACCAATGAATTTTAATGTAACACAGTACAAATAGTACATTGAAATAGTATCATATTAAATATTGCATCTAACCTTTCAGAAACCACTACTTCTCGAATTTTGATGTAGTATCAAATAAAAACACAATTATCTTTCCTTGAAGTTATTAAAATACTCCTGTCTTTTTCAACTGCCAAGAAACCAAACCAAACCTGTTGCCATCAAGTTGATTCCAATTCATAGAGACCCTGTAAGACAGAGTAGAACTGTCCCTAGGGTTTCCAAGGAGCGGCTGGTGGATTTGAACTGCCAACCTTTTGGTTAACAGCTGTAGCTCTAACCACTGAGAAACCAGGACTTCTTTTCAACTACATATCTGTGTAAACATGGATTTTCTTCAAATACTTCAACCTAACCAACAGATTACAACAGACTGAATGAAGAAGCAAATATGAGAATCTAGCTATCTTCTATTAAGGCAGACATTGAAGAGATTTGTAAAAATATTAAACACCACCACTAGTTTTGGAAAATAGTTATTTTTCCACAAAAATATGGTATTTATGTTACTAAGTAATTGTTTATTATTATTTTTAAACAAATTAATAAATATTTTAAAAATTTCTGTTTTAATTTTCAATAGAGTAAATATCAGTAGATATAGCCCATATAAATGAAAGTTTTCTGGTGTCCTCAATAATTTTTAAGAGTGTAAAGGGTTCTGAAAGCAAAAAGTTTGTGATTGCTGCCCGAATGCAATGGTTCTCAACGTTGACTGGCAAATGAGAATCAACTGGAAAAATTTTAAAAAAAAGCAAAAAAAAGAATAGCTTGGACCCTACCTTCAGATCAACTGAATCAGAGTATCTGAGGGTGGGGTGCAGGGAAGCTTTTTTTTACACCCCCCCACCTCCCCAGGAGGTTTGAATGTGCAGCCAGGGTTGAGAACCACAGTGGTTAAGAGCTCGGCTGCTAACCAAAAGGTCGGCAGTTCGAATCCACCAGCAGCTCCTTGGAAACCCTATGGGGCAGTTCTGCTCTGTCCAGGAAGGTGGCTCTGAGTCAGAATCGACTGATGGAAGCCGGTTTGGTTTTTGGTGCTGCCCTCACGCTGCAGTTGTTTTAGATAAAGTGGGCAGCAGAAGAGTTACGACTGGAGGAGGCAGCTCTTCGGGAGAAGCTAGGCAGATTAGTATATTGGTAGATTAGTAAATTAGTAGATTGGTACAAAAGGTTAACACACTTGGCTTCTAACTGAAAGGCTGGAGGTTTGAGTGCATCCAGTAATGCACTGAAAGAAAGGCCTGGTGATCTACTTCTGGAAAAATCGAAAACCATGTGGAATACAGTTCTACTCTGACACACATGGGGTCGTCATGAGTTGGAATCAACTGTACGGCAACTGGTGGGCAGATTAGGGTTGGGCAGGGGCCATCTAGATCAGTCCAGTCTTTGATATCTAATTGTATTGAATTGATGAACTAGATCTCAGTAAGAGGCCTGAGGGAAGGAGAGAGGCTCTGCAGCCCCCTAAAGGCAAGTGCATCCCAGTCAGCCAGAAGAAGGGTGTGGTTGCCAGGGCACGACATTTCCCTCCGTGAGAAGTTAACCCCAATCCCCATGAGAATCCACTGTCCTTTAAGAAACTTCCTGACTAACCTAGGTCTGAGGTTTTATTTCCAGGCCTTCTAGTGTGGTTGAGGTAACCAGTGCAATCTCAAGGCATCTCCTTATCACCTCCTCTCAGAGACAGTACTTGGGCTGGGAGATACTCACGGTCCAGCAGAGAATGGCAAATCCAAACCAGGCAACGCCCCAGGCATGTCGGTCCATTGGTCCAGAAATCAGTTCATAGCAGCCCTGAAGGAGTGGGGATTCCACATTGGCAAGAAAGGACACATAAATAAAGACATAAGAGATTGGTGGGAAAGCAGATTGCCATTTGAATAAATGTCACTTCAAAGTCCAGTTCGACATCACCAGGCTCTTTTCACATCCCTGAGGAGAGCCAGTGGCTAACACTGATGGAGTGTAAGTAATTCTGTTGAATACGATATCCTATATATCATGTTTCTTTGTGCCTTTTTTAAATCACTAAATCTAACGAAGGTGCTACTATTTTATCATGACTTTTTTTCTACGTTGAGTATGTATGTGGACAACTTATTTTTAGTAAAACATGATTTTTTATTTTCTTTCTCAAAAGATGTTCTTGGTGATCTGTGCGAGGGCAGAGCATCTTTTGCGTTTGTTTGTTTTTAAGTAAAAGTGCTTCTGGTTTATGAAAACCAAAGGTCCTCTGTCGCCATTTTTTAAAAATAATCTTTAAGGGAACCCTTACTTCATGCTTTCTAAATTATTGTTTGACATCAGATTTCAATACATCTTGACTGGATTCTAGTGAGGCCTTGAAGAGCCATGCTGTGTGAAAGAGTGATTCCTTTTTCATTGATGGAATCATTCATTCGTGCCATAATTCAGTAGGTACTCACAGGTGGCACGCTTGGCCTTCATCACTGTAAGGTGCTGGAGTGATGCACACGTATAAAGGTAAGGCTAGAGCTGCCGCCAGAGTGGCCTCTCCCGGAGCCCTGGGGATCACACTCACTCCCCGGAAATGCAACACTGGCTGGTCCCATCAACCACCGAGACCCAAAGGGAAATGGCCTGGAAGGGCTAGAAGTTGAGTTCCACCCAGTGGCTGTTGTTGTTGTGAGGTGCGTTTGAGTTGATTCCGACTCTTGGTGGCCCCGTGTGACAGAGCAGAACTGTGCCATAGGGTTTTCTAGGCTGTAATCTCTACGGAAGCAGGTCACCAGGTCTTTCTCCTGAGGAGCTGCTGGTGAGTTTGAACAGCCAACCTTTCAGTTAGCAGTGGAGCGCTTTACCAATGTGCCACCAGGACTTCTTACCCAGTGGCTACAGGTGGCCATTTGAGCTTCTGTCCTTTACGACTCCTCCCCAGTTGCCGTCAAGTCGATTCCAACTCATGGCAACACCGTGTGTTTCAGAGTAGAACTGCGCTTCCTAGAGTTTTCATGGCTGTGACCTTTCAGAAGCAGATTGCCAGGTCTTTCTTCCGAGGCACCTCTGGATAGGTTCAAACCATCGCTTTTGGTTAATAGCCTGGTACTTAACTGCTTGCACCACCCAGGGACTCCTTAACTGTGTCAGTCCCTTGTTAACGCACTGGCATACCCTGCCTTTTTGCAATGTCTTGATTTCCCCTTCATCTGCTCTTCTCCATCTACATTACAGGCAATTCCAGTGGCGAAATGGTAAAGCGCTCAGCTGCTAACTGAAAGGTTGGCTGTTCAAACCCACCAGCCGCTCCGCAGGAGAAAGATGTGGCAGTCTGCTTGCATAAATATGCCAGCCTTGGAAACCCTATGGGGGCAGTTCTACTCTGTCCTATAGGATCGCTGAGTTTAGACTCAATTTGACGGCAATGGGAATGGGTAGATGCTCACATGAAAAATCTTGGAATTATCCTGACTCCACTGTTTTTCTCCTATCTGACATTCAACACTTAAGCAAATCCTTTTGGGTCGACTTTTAAAATATATCCCAAATCCAAATGCTTCTTATTTCCTGCTACCACCCTGGTGCACCATCACCTTGCTCCAGGATTCCTACAATAGCTTTTTAGTTGGTCTCCCTGAGAACTCAGTCCACTCTTGTCCCTGCTAGTCTTCACATAGTGCCAGAGAGCTCCTTGTAAAACATAAATAAGATCACCTCACACTCCTGCTCAAAACCCTCCAGTGGCTTCCCATCACCCTTAAGATGAAATTCTAGGTCCTAGCCATGGCCTGTGAGGGGCTGTTTGATATGGCCTGCCTTTCTCTTTTCTACTACCAGAAGCAGTTTTGCTGTAAAATGAAATAAGCTTAACCTTCAGGGCCCCTTACTTACAAGACAATTTCAAGGCCCAGTACCTAATTTTATATTCATATTTTTAGTGTTTTTTCTAAGGAGGACTCCTCCCTACAAAAATTATAAGCTTCAGGCCCCTTAGAATCTATATTCACCCTTGCCTACTATTCGTCCCTTAACTGGCCCTGGCCTTGCCATACTGACCTCTTTGGTGTTCCTCCAAAAAGCTAAGGATGTTCCCACCTCAGGGCCTTTGCCTTGCTGCTCTCTTTTTAGCTTAGAACTCTCTTCCCCAATGTTTGAATGTCTCTTTTCCTCACTTAATTCAGACCTCTGTGCAAATACCAACTCAACAAAGCCTTTCCTGACCACCCCGGCAAAAACACCCTCTCCTCCATCATTCCCTATATACTTACCCTTGCTTTGTTTCTGCTCATGGCATCTCTGACTACCTGGAATTTTATCATGTATTTGTTTGGTAACTTAATTATTGTCTGCCTCCTGTACTAGAATGCAAGCTTCACGAGGGCAGGATCTTGTCTTGTTCACTGTTGAATCTCTAGAACCTGGAACAGTGCCTGGCACATAGTAGGCACCTAATAAACATTTGCAGAATGAGTGGAACACATGATATGACATAGTGACTACAACAGTAACACTGGTGACACCCTTGGTGGTCCACAAAACACTTCCAGATCCATTAGTCACTTGATCTTCCCAATGATCCTAGGAGGAGGTCATTTCCCCAGTAATATGTGTGACAGCCCACATATGCGAGGTGCCAGATACCACGCTGATGCTAGGCATTCAGCTGTGACAAGACAGAAATGGGCTCTGCCCTCATGGAGCTTACAGACAAGAGCCCGCGTTTTTTCACCTCTCCTCAGTGCCTTTTCATGATACCAATCATTTTAGTGGTGCTTGTCTGGATCTTCCTTAGCTCATCATCATGTTCTTGAAATGCAGGGCTCAGAACATGCACATAGCATTTCTGGAGCAGACGGACCATGACGTAGAATAAATATATTTGCCTCTGAAATGCTCTGTAAAATTCTGGTTGATTTCTACTATTACAAAGCTTATGATGACTCCCCTAATTTTGTTAGCTCTCATGGCTATAGCAACACTGTTGTGTTTTGTAAATCTTGAAAAGGTGTAGTATGGATAAGAAAATGAAGCCATTTACTTAGCCATACACCCATCCCACTTACTCACTCAGCCATCTGCCAAACATTTACCAAACACTGCATTGTGTCAAGCATTATGCCAAGGGCGGCTGACATAGAATTGGATAATGCATAGCCTTCAAGGAGACTGGTAGAAAAGAAAAGAGAGGCTTATAACAAGTAATTATAATAGAGTTCAAAGTGTTAACTGCAATAAGAGAAGTGGAGTATACTGGCTATTGGGGTGGTGCATTTTGCTTTGTGGAAAAGGATTGCTACAGGGGAAGTAGCAGGACCAACGACTTAGAGGGAGTAGTGGTGTGTGAGGAACTGGGGGGCTGGGATAGGGAGAATCAGAAAGGATTAATAGCTAAGAGATCATGTTGAGGGTGAAGAGCGAGTGCAGTTGACAAAGTAGCAGCACAGGGAGGCAGGAGCGTAGAGAGGCATTTCAGGATTCACGAACTTGGTGGAGCGTAGGGGTTGAGTGACGTCGAGTCTGAAGTTGTGGTGTAGTAGGTGGGTACTGTACATGGAGATGTCAGGAACAGATGAGGCCAAGGAATTGTAAGGGAGGGTGATAGAAGGGTTATCAAAATGGGTGTGGGGTCCCTGAAGATAGCAAGAGGAGAAAGAATTAATTTTATCTTTTCCTCAAATTGGAGGAAAGTTAAGTGGTTTTAGATTTGTTCTCATTACTTCAATGTTACGTGATTTTAGGAAGAAGTGTCTCTTTGAAATGAACCAATTATCTGAAGGCAAACATCATTTTTTGTCCCCTTCAAAGAGGGGGATGTAGTTTGCACACAATCACAATCCACGCAAGGTATGATAGCATGGGCCGACACTGAAATATTGAAAGCTTTTTATTAATCCTGACAGTGATAATTATATTGCGTATTGTGATTATAAGCAATAAATTCAATTTTTACAGCAGTCTGAATATAACTCATTAAAACAATGCCAACACAATACTGGTGAAAAGCGAAATGAGGGTTGCTTTGAAGACCTCTGCAAAATAATCTCTATCACCCCCATGTCCTTTTTCTGGATTGATGCAACCAATCAGAGTCCAGGCACTCGGCCAAGTGTGGCATTATGATCAGCGCTGCAGTGTTCTTCATTCTCAAATTGTAGTAGGTATAATTTACTCCCAAACTACAAAGCCTGATATTCCTCAGTTATTTAGCCAACTGGCACACCACTAGCTTTCCTCTATGTGGTAACTCGCAAAGCAGTGTACAGCATTTCAGAAGCTGTCTACAGATACATGGGGGTCTCATCAAGGCATTCAGGAATATTACCAAGTTCTTTATTTGCTTAGAGCCTAGACTCTCCGGCAAAACTGCTAGGGTTTGAATCCTGACTACCATTTGCTAACTGTGTGACCTTGGGCAAGATACTTAGTACCTCTATAGCTCAGTTCCCCATTTTTTTTTTGTAAAATAGGAATCATACTGGTATCTGCCTTTGAGCACTGAAAGAGTTAATACATGTATGGCACTTGGAACAGTGTCTGGCATTTATTTAGTTAAGTATTGAATAAATGTTAATATTCATAATTATCATCAAACTCAAAAACCATCTATACGTAAACCACCTTCTACCCCAATCACCAGCCTAAT